AGGGTCTTGTCCTACCTCATACTCCTATTGTTCTGAGTAAAACTCTTCAGTTACACCCAGGCAACTTCTTTGCCTTAATGGAATTGCCCATTACTCAATCTGTTCAGCCATTACCTCCACCATATATTCCAGGATTTCCTCAAATTTTCTTATAGTTTACTCTTTTGCTATTGGTAGATTTTTAAAATTAATTCAGTTAGTTCAATAATTTTCTGTGGTAATTTATTCAGTTAGTTCAATGGCTACCTCAATAGAAGGGATAATGAGTAAACTTGTGGCCTCAAAGAGTCATTCTGAAACCAGAAAAATAATAAAAGTACGGCTAGTGAATTGCTTCACACAATGTTTGAAAGAGCAGAGCATCTGAGATAACAAAAATCTATTGTCTGACATTGCTAACAATTGTTTATTTACGAACTTGAAAATATATTGAAAACTGTAAAAAAAACAAGCTTCTTATACTTTTTTTAAAAATGTGGTTTTATGATGCAGTTAAAATTACAATTATTCACAATAAGTTTAGCCATTTTTAAGATAAAATAGTTTGGCCTATTAAGAGAACCCGAGATAAATTATACCAAAATTAAGTATAGCTGAGAACAAGGTTTGCAAATACAGTTAATGTTTTGAAATGAATGAAGGACCAAAGATCTGAAATTTACTGTAACCACTAGTAAGTGAGTAGTTACTATAGCAACTGAGACAAACTGATCCAGATTGAGAGAAAAAATATTTGCAGCTGGACCAATCAAAAAAGAATGAGTTTTCTGTGTGGCATTTCCTGCCATCTCCTGTTTGTGCTCTAAGGAGGTAGGGGGGTGGGGAGAAGGACATGCTCTAGGTTTTAGGAAGATAATATGAGTAAAAGGTGTACATGGATATTTTCTAAGATTTATGGAAAACTGTTACACATAAAAGTATTAGCTAAGATATCATGGAAAACACTTCACTAAAAACTTGAAGCTTATAATGAAGTTAAGATAATACCTCCATCTCACACAATGCTATATGCCAATTATATCTCAGTAAAATTTGTGGAGAGGGGAGGGAATAAAGTGCTTATAGACAAAAAAAAAAAAAAAAAAAAAAAATAGAAAGACTTGGAGTCTACACACGCTGGGTGGAACTTAAGAGTTTCCAACCAAAGGCTCAGGAATAGGAAACTGCCGAGCTGTCCAATTCTTGAGTATTCACATTAACTTAAGGTTCTTTATTACCAACATTTCTGGAGGCCTCAGGAGATGTTTTTACCCAGGTTACTAGTGGAAAAGGACAATGAAGTGAGTTTATTGACAAAGTCTGATTATCTATGTTACACAAAGAAGTAAAACTTTATTTTTTTACATACTAGAGAACAGTAATTTCCAGTGTATGAATATATGTCATATCAAGTTACTATATGGGGTTTACAAATCCACCTGTGTAATTACAGATGTCTTACAGCAAATCAGTAACATTTCTCACACATACATGAATGACTTTTCAAAGGTATGTAGATGTAGTTAATAACATATTTTAATGCTAGCGAATTTCAAGTAGTTTTATATGCTCATATAATCATATATCAATATGTCATACATCGATATGCAAAATACAACAGTATGAATACAAAGGGATGGGGTAACTATTTATATATGTTTATATATAATTAGATTCTCTTTTAGTTCAAGATGTCATACCCAAAAACTAAGGACTACTGATAGCGAGAATGAGATTATACTGTAACCTCAGATATCATCCCCTCAGGGTCTTACTGGAAATCATTAATGAGGTGATTTTACTGCAGCTCTCATGCCTAATCACATTTCCATGTAACCACACCCTTCAAATCATTGCTTGAAAGAGGAAACACTTTGGGATTTGGTCAAACTTATCAAAAGTATAGAGGGTAGAAATTATCTAGTACTTAAACATACTTGAGCAGCTCTTAATTCAAACCATTTAGACTCTGTCTTTCAGAAAGTACCCTCCTACCAAATACCGAAGAGATATTTCAACTAAGAATGATAAAGCCCATCTTCCATAATTTTGGAATCTACTTTTTTTTTCTTTAAGTTGTATATACACTTTTTTTTACCCTTTATTAATTTCCTTGTGTTTGCTTTTCTTTTTCCTATCAGCCATCTTTTCCTCAACTCATCTTCTCACTACTGGCCAACGTGTTCTTTTCTAGAAGCTTTAACACAGACTCCATAGGTAGTAGGAAGACAAGTAAGAATCTTTATTACTATGAAAGCACTTTTTCAGGGATTCAAAATATGTACTGATACTTTCATATTTATTTTAAGCAATGATAGTATTTTGCTGATATTGTTTATAACTTTGATTATGCTTTTACCTTCTTATAATTACCAATAAAAGCTGGTCATATTTGCCATTTTAGTCAGATTTTTCATGACTGTTCCAGAATGGGCTTGAATACCATATTTTGTTTGTTGTTCATGCTGTGAGAATGACAGTCATTCCCAGGCCATGAGCAATAGTTTTTAAAGGTACATGCAACAGAGACACCAATTTCTTTCCTTGTTTGTTCAATTATAATGATAAGTAAGACATGCCACTTTTTGTCCAGAATACTTTTTATATTGTAATAACAATGAATTTACAAACCTCTTATATATATTTTACTTTTTCAAAGAGTGCTGGACAAAGAAGGTAACATTGTTTCAAATATGCCATTCTTCAGGTGTAGTACATCTATTGCCATAACTAATACTATGGTAATAATTAAAATCCCAGTCAATCACAGCTCTCTTTCCCACCGAGACCAGATTCAGCCCAAATTCTTTTCATTGAACCTATATTAACATTGTCGTGTCTAAATTAATACCTAATACAGGGTCAGTAAATACTCACTTGAATGAGGAAATAAATTAATGCACAAATAAGGGATGAAAACAGACCATCAAAGAACTAATCAGAACTTCATCTAGTTTGACTCCCTAAACTGAAGGATGACTTTTGTTAAACAACTCCTTGACAGGCTGTCATCGTGGTGGTGGTCATCATGGGATTCTTGGACTCAAAGATACAAGATGAGTAAAAGTGAGATCCTAAATTAAATTTTCTAAGGTGACCAACACAAGCTTCTGCCCAGCTGAGAGGGATAAGATGTTTTACTTCTTTTTTTTAAATTTTTTTTTTCAACATTTATTTATTTTTGGGACAGAGAGAGACAGGGCATGAACGGGGTAGGGGCAGAGAGAGAGGGAGACACAGAATCGGAAACAGGCTCCAGGCTCTGAGCCATCAGCCCAGAGCCCGATGCGGGGCTCGAACTCATGGACTGCAAGATCGTGACCTGGCTGAAGTCGGACGCTTAACCGACTGCGCCACCCAGGCGCCCCGAAGATGTTTTACTTCTTAAAGAGTACAACAGTGTCAGCCTCCTTAATCCCTACCTTTTTAGCATTTGCTCTTCCTGATCACCTGCTCATATTATGATATTGATCTTATGTTTCTCAAGCTGTATATTTTATTTGACCATAATTTTTAAACATATTCTTTCCTATACTTTATTGAAATTAATTGCATATAACATTGTGTAAGTTTAAGATGTATATCGTGATCATTTGATAATGCATATGTGTATATATATGCATTGTGTAAGTTCACGGTCTATAATGTGATTATTTGATACATGCATATGTTGCATAATGATTACCACAATAAGGCCCATTAACACATACTTCACCTCACAGTTATCCTATTCTTTCTTTCTTTCTTTTTTTTTTTTTTTTTTTTTTTGGTGGTGAGAACATTTAAAATGTACTTTCTTAGCAACTTTCGAGTATACAATACAGTATTGTTAACTATAGTCACCCTGCCATATATTAGATTCCTGTATTTTACCTACCTTATAACTGGAAGTTTGTACCTTTTGACCAACATCTCCCATTTCTCCCACCCCAGCCCCTGGCAACCACCAGTCTACTCTCTGTTTCCGCAAGTTCAGCTTTTCTGGATTCCATATATACATGAGATCATGCAGTATTTGTCTTTTCTTTGACTTATCTCACTTAGCATAGCACCCTCAAGTTTCTTCCATGTCACAAGTGGTAAGGTTTCCTTTTTTTATGGCTGAAAATACCCCACTGTATATCACATTTTCTTTATCATTCACCCTGTCAATATCATTCTTTATCATGTTAATAAACACTTAGATAGCTTCCATGCCTTGAGTATTGTGAATAATGCTCCAGTGAACAAAGGGTGCAGATATCTCTTTGAGGCAGTGATTTCATTTCATTTTGATATATACCCGGAAGTGGGAATGCTGGATCATATGGTAGTTTTATTTTAATTCTTTGAAGAACATCCTTAGTGTTTATAGTGGCTGTGCCAATTTACATTCCCACCAACAGTGTGTAAGTGTCCCTTTTTTTCCACATCTCTGCCGATCCTTGTTATTTCTTGTCTTTTTGATGATAGCCATTCTAACCAGTATGAGGTGATCTTTCACTTGGTTTTGATTTGCATTTCCATGATGATCAGTCCTTTTCATGTACCTAATGGACATTTGTATGTCTTCTTTGGAAGATGAAAAGGTTGCTTGCCCATTTAAAATAATTGAATTATTATTATTATTATTATTATTATTACTATTATTATTATTATTGCTACTGAGTTGTATGAGTCCCTTATAATTTTTGAATACTTGGATATCAGATAATTTACTTGCAAACATTTTCTTCCATTCTGTAGGTTCTCTTTTCATTTTCTTGATTGTTTCTTTGCTGTGCAGAAGCTTTTTAGTTTAATTTACCTGTTAATCTCCACAATCATAGTCATCTTTCAACAAGCATCGGAACTATAGTCTCACAACCCTGACCCTGGAAATATCACTTAGGATTAATTTCCTTCCAAATTAAAACATTCCTCTGATGAACTGCCCAGTGGAAAAAAAAGTTTCATTCTCTTACACTCCTTAACCCCACCCAGCTGATCTTTTGTATACAGAAATGTGAGTGAGAACTTCCAATACGTTACTGAAAGCATCTCTCTGCAGCCTTGCCTATGTCTTCACTTAGCCCATCTTAGTTTTCCCTGAAGCCTCTCTGAGATGGAATTAGTGCTGCTATCATTTTAAGGCAGCAAGACATCTTCCAGAAGAACAACTCTAAATTCCATCCATCCTATTGAAGTCAATTGCCTAGCAAAGGCATGAATACAGAAAACTTAGAGACTCAGCTCTGCATGTTTTATCTCTTTTGGATTTCCAAGTGAGAATGAATAATCACTGGAAAGTCTGGAGTTACTACTGATTATAATACAGTGATTTTTTTTTTCTGTCTCCTATGATCTTTAAAACTTCAGTTAGTGTGAACTTTGACTTACATAGCTCTTTAAGAATTTTGCAATGTCAACTGTGAAGTTTGAACTGGATTATCTTTCTCCTGAAGGCTTCAGACATGAGCATGCTTCCAACCCAGAATTTACTTTAACCTGTTTGACTGAACTCTCTGAGGATTCTAGTCAATTCGAACTTCAACACTCCAATTCTGTCCCCACTGGTAAGCTAAACTTTAGATTTTTTTGAGTATCTTATATTACATCTGTATTTTTTTAATGTCAGATACGTAACAAATAAATCTTGATGGTGCCTATTTTGTGGTGGTAAAACTGATCCCAATTTTAGTTTCTTCAGTTGTTTTTCCTCAAAATACATAAATAGTTTTCTACAAAAAGAACAGAAGGTTATCCCACTAGAATAAAATGTCAGGAAACAAGTTTATTAGGGACACAGAAAAATGTTAATAGTGAAGTAGATTTTGTTTTTCTGAATGTTCAAGCTTATCTTAGTTTTCTTTGGGATGATTGATGAAATCAGGGATTGTATCTGTAAACTGCAGAAAAAAAGTCCTGCCATCTTTCATTCATCTCTTTTATTTCTGTTTCCTTTTATATAATTATATGAAGGACAATATGTGCTCTTTACCTTCTCATTAAGAGTAAGAGAACATTCCTTTTACTTACGTTATTTTGTGACCTGATTTTGATTCTATAGGAGCTGACAATGTTGATAGAATTCAATGTGAAAAATTTCTTTTTTGTTATCTATGGGTGGATAACTTATCCAGCATCCAACAGTTTTCATTTTTTTTGCACTGCGGTTTTCAGGAAATAGTACTATACACTAATATTCTGCATACATTAAAAAATTCTGTGGGTTTGGTTTACAGTGAACAGCTATGAGATGTCAATAATTAATTAAGTGTTCTTTGTAGAAAAGAATCATATAATAAATAAATATTTTAAATGTTCTTCTAAAGGAAATTCCCTTTTGAGTTAGTTGTTTATCTCTCCTCACAAAAAAGACAGTGTAATGACAAAAGTAAAAGTTAAACAAAGTTTTCATAGTTCTGGATGTTACAGGACGTTAATCTTTGTCCAAAGGCTGGGTGGGGGGATCCTTGTAGAAATAACAAATTCCATTTGCAACCAGAGGATTCTTCTAAGAAAATGTGGCATATTTATTTATTTGAGATGTTTGAAAAGAAGTTTTATGTGACTCCCAACCAGTTGCTGATTTGTTGTTCACAGATTCTTTTGTGTTATACGACTTGTTTTATAGTATAAGCTGTTCTATAATCAGGAGATATGATAAATTTTTAAATTTTTCTTTCATCCATAGTATTATTTCTCTTTCTTAGATTGAAAGTCCTACTTGTATTGAACCTACAATTTCATAAATGGAAAAAATCAGTTTATTCCCAATGAACATAACTTTTTGTACAGTGGACTTAGGAAAAAGAAGTTCATAAGTAAAGTACTTACCAGTTTAATCATGGTTTAAATACCCATCGTATTTTCACCATTTTTTTGTCTTCTAGTCATCTTTGTTGTAGTTGGCACATCTGTTCAATAGATTCAACTGTTGTCTTTATGCAGCTGACAAATGCAGCTGTAGCTTAGGTATAAACTCCTCCCCAGGACCTGGAAGACACTTTCACCTCAATTTCCTTGGCAGTGCCTCAAATTCAACACAAAGAAGCTAAACTCCCTAAAAATGCCTCATCATTCTTACATTCTTATTTTTGTCAATATCCCCTAAGCCAGCTGAAACATTCCTTAGCGTTGCAATATAAAGTAAGCACTTGTTTCTATGCGTGTTAGTTTAATACTTGTCTTCTTTACCTCTTTGTCTACCACTATGGTGCCAGTACTCAACAGGGTGCCTGGCTTCCTTATATCTTGACTCGCTGATTGCCTGGCCGAGGGACTGAAAGATTGGCCGTCTTCATTGCCCAAGTGCATACACCTTACAGTCTTTTAACTGATCTCACCTTCAAACAAGACTTTCCAAAACAAGTCTCTTGCCCATTGAAAGCCACACAGTCCTCCCTAAGCACAAATCTGACCTATTCCCACTTGTGTTTGGGATTTCTGTAAGTCAGTGTAACCTGTGTTATAAACCTGGTGCTCTAGAATCTAAATCTTTTTTTTTTTCCAACTTTGTCAGTTTCATGTAACTACCTACATCCTACAAGAATGATTTACACTTTCCAATTACTGTTCATGTTTTTCTTCCAAAATAATTTCCAATAATTATTTCTCCTTCCTCTATTTATTAAGATCTCACTGAGAAAAAAAAATCATCTTCCCAAATGCTTATGGTTAACTTTTTATATAAAGGGATATTTTCTGTCAATTTCTTTTAAAAGTTTGTTTTATATATGAAAATGTTCACATTCTATTTTTATTGTTGTTGTAAATACATATGTCCATGGCTTCTCTTATATTAGATTATGTTTCTTAAAGGTAATTGCCTTTTCACAATTGTTTGTGCTTATGCATAATGCACATGTCACAAATATGATTAACTAAATGACCAAATAGTAAAGTGTAGTTTATCTTTTAATGTATTTTCTGTCATAGGGAGTACTAGTTTAAGTCAAGTTATACATGGATTTTGTCTGCCAACATCCTGGGTGGAAATTACCACACAATTTTTGCTTGATGAAACCATTGCACAGAATAGTATCAATGTGGAATTTGTCCTTCGCTTAAAGCATTTATGGAGCATTGAGTCAAGTTGTATTCATTCATTTAAAATATACTAATTGAATATTCATGACTGAGAGTTAGTGCTTGAGGTGTCTACATGAAAATGAAAATGAGATAACAGTGGAAGTAGGAAGGAATTCTGTCTTTTTATCTCAGTGGACTGACAGTATGTTTTCAACATACTTAAGCAAGTATAAAGCTATCATGGGAAAATAAAATATGAGCAGTTATGTCTAGAAATATGTTCCATTGTCAATAAACACAGTATTTATACCTTTCACTTATATGATTAAAGATAATACCTACAAAGTCTGAATTGTTCTTATAAGACATTTATGAGTTAGAGTTCATTTATCTTGACCTTTATTAAATGGGAGAATCCAAAGCCCAGAAAAGTAATGTAACTGGACCTAAGCCATTCACATATGTAGTGTGTGTTGTGTGTGTGTGTGTGTGTGTGTGTGTGTGTGTGTGTGTGTGAATGGGTGGTGGCAGAGGCAGACGGAAGTTGAGGAGCTCGTAATCTGTTTTCTGCCTGTAAGAGTTTAGTGTTCTTTCTTTTTGCTCAACACTGCATGGAAATTATGATTAAAAACAGTCCCATGAAAGAAAAATGCTTCTTTATGTTTCAGAAATGAATTTCATCAGTAATCGGTAGTGAAGATACAAATGTCATCCCTGGATTCTGGAATGTGTTTTAAGGCTATGAACATTTCATCATTATGATCATTATCATCAGATGTATATATACATACTTATGTATATATATAAAATGTTACTTTATCATACTGGAAGTTATATGACTACCAATTGGACATACCTGTTTTAATTTTTTTTATCCTTGTAAAACAGGTATGTCCCACTGGTAGTCATATAACTTCCAGTATGATAAAGTAACATTTTAACCAATATGTGATCCTGAATTCACTTAGGCATTAATTCACTGTTAAAAATTTCTGATGGTCGGGGCGCCTGGGTGGCGCAGTCGGTTAAGCGTCCGACTTCAGCCAGGTCAAGATCTCGCGGTCCGTGAGTTCGAGCCCCGCGTCAGGCTCTGGGCTGATGGCTCAGAGCCTGGAGCCTGTTTCTGATTCTGTGTCTCCCTCTCTCTCTGCCCCTCCCCCGTTCATGCTCTGTCTCTCTCTGTCCCAAAAATAAATAAACGTTGAAAAAAAAAATTTTCTGATGGTCAAAAATCTTTCAGTCCTAGTGGATATTCTAATTTTTTTCTATAGTTTCATAACACAGTCTAACATATTTGAGAATGTATGTGATTCAACTTTTAAAAAGTTTGTTGTGGCGCCTGTGTGGCTCAGTTGGTTAAGTGTCTGACTTCGGCTCAGATCATGATTTTGTGGTTCGTGAGTTCGACCCTCGCATTGGACTCTGTGCTGACAACTCAGACCTGGAGGCTGCTTCAGATTCTGTCTCTGTCTCTCTTTGCTCCCCCCCCACCCCCGGCCCCAACTCACACACTGCCTCTCTCTCAAATGTAAATAAACATTACAAAACAATTTAAAAAAATAAAAAGTTTGATAATTTCGTTTAATCTAGAATTTTGTATGTTTATTAGATTCTAAAACCCTCTTACATAGAACATTTCCTAATATCCTGTGAGACCTGCTTTGGCTATTTGGTATTAAAGAAATGAATTCCATAACGCTAGTGAAGGAATTGGAGAACACTAAAAATTTAGTCGAGATGAGGTCCCGCTTAGTCACAAACAAGGAGTGCCACTTCGGGCAAGGTTTTAACATCCTTCCTGGATGATTTTTCTAATCTGGACAATGTCTAGAATACATTAGTTGATTTTAAAGGCCACTGACAACTATAAAAAAGGTTAATGAATATAATTAGATTTAGAGCATTCCCAATGAATGTCATTAAGCTAAAGACAAGAATATAAAAAGTAAAGACAAAGCCTCTGTTTACATATAATTTAAAACAATAATAATAAAAGTCAACATATGCAAAGAATTTCTAATATATCGAGTTCTTTTACATTGACTTTTTATGACCATTATGTAGATCAAATCATTTTTTACTCCCATTTTTATAAATGAAGAAACTGCGTATCAGTGATATTTTACAGTAAAATTTCAGTAAGTAATAAACCAAGAACTTGGACCCAGACTTTGTCCAATTCCAAATGTTACTGCCACTACATGAATACAAGCCCAAGTACCAGTATCACTCCTTACCCTGCTACTATGACAATAATGAAGATAACAAAAACAGCATTTACCATTTTACTGACAATACCAAATACTTGAACCCTAAACTCATTTTACTCTTCTTATAATATTTTGAAGCATGAAGAAGTCAAATGTTATAATTGTCCATCATATTTCAAGTATAGATTTATACATCACTAATTTACACACTAAGTTGGTATTTTCAATTTAGAATGGTTGAGTTGAAATCTTTGTAAGAAAAGACATTTCAATAACTTACAAACCAGGTAAGACTACTTAGTCTATAGAAAAGTAAGTGTTAACATGCTGAT